TTGGGGGTTTTTTTTATTGTAGTTTTTCTGTTTCTGTAGACTGTCAGTAAGTCACGTAGCCTAGAAACACACCAAGTTTTGGTCTTGTTTATAGGGATTTCAATTTGGAGCCAAATTTGAGGGAAAGTGGCGAAGTGTTACGTGTGCGAAGGATTTCAGAAAAGTTTGCATGCGGTTTTCCTGGGTCTGTTTTTCTGCCGTCATTAGCTCCACATAAAAACAGACTGCTTTTAATTTTCTGCCTTAAACATGTAGCTGCACGTCGGGTTTCTGTCTCGCTGTTGACAAACTGTCACTGCTGCCAGCATCAGTTGTTCGAGAAGCCTGGAGGAATTTACTTCAGAGGTTTTAAGCCTTGAACTTTTTCACATTTTGTCCAAGTTGTAAAGAAGGTTGAAGCAAAGTTAGGTTATAAAAATATCCAGTAAAGAGAAGAACACTGCACATCTGCACTCAACATGAATGGTGCAAAACTTAAACCCCATCCTGAATGCACTGACTCCATGGAGCAACAGGTGGGGGCAGCATGATGCAGAGGACATGCCTTTTTTTTAGCAGGGGCAGGGAATCTGCTCAGAGTTGATAGGATGATAGCCGGAAGGTACAGACGTACCCACAAAAATACTTGCAGGTTTAATCGGTGTGACATGTGGTTCAAGATTAAAATGCACACCACACTTTTCAGATTTTTTTACTGCAAAAAACAAAAAAAAATGTAATTTTCCTTCCTGCTCATAAATATGCACAAATTTGTGCTGGCCTGTTGCAGAACACGTTGTCGTTTGTGGTTGTAGAGTGACTAAATGTGAAAAAGGGTCAAGAAGATGACGATTTCCTGAAGCGCCTTAGAAAACCAAACTTGTATTCTGTTCTACTCCCACTTTGCTTTCAGTCTCAAACTGCACGTTCTCAGGGGCTTGGATGTTTTGAGCTTACTAAAAATCAGGTGAAAGCTGGTATATTGTATTACATGTTTGCCACATTTGAGTTTTTAACTTTGAAAAAGGAAAAAAAAAAAAAAAAAAGAAAGCAGAATTGGTAAAAGATTTGAATCGGCAAGTCAAACCTCAAAGCAAACCAAAACTTTCTAAGCCTCCAGAAGCCTCATTGGTACATTTCTGGTTTTTTTGTTGTTGTTTTTTTTAACAAAATAAGCAAAACCTTTTTAGAATAACTACTTTAAGAATATTGGAGTAAACTTTTCACCATAGCTATGATACACTGAGGCGACCTCAGAACTTTTCTACCTGCTTTTTGACTTTTTTCAAATCTGCTGCAAGATTTGACGAGACCGGTTCATCCCTGCTGTCCGTTCTGTCTTTATTGTGCTTGTTGATCTCCCTTGAGGTTGAAAGGTTCACCGTCAGGGCAGATACACACACACACACACACACACACGCTCACACACTCGCACCCCATAGCCCACGGCAGTGAATCCAATGCGAGCCACTTCAAACCAGCATACAAAAGAGGGAGTTTTGTTTACTTGTAGGATCTCCAAGGTCCTCTGTGCTTGTTTATGTCACCTATTCATCTGACATCCTTGAGTCCATAATGTGGAAAACAGATGACTGGCTGTCTGGAGCTCAGACAGCTCTCAAATGAACTCGGATGAAATTAAAGCCTTTGAGATATTGCCTGTTTAGAGTAAAGATACAGAGACTCATTCTTGTTTTAAACTCTTATTTTTTTGGAAACAATCTCAGGTAAGCCAGTAAATGAGAGTTAAACCCCTGGTAATAATTGCAGTTGAGCCTTGCACTTTCATCCTAACTTGATGCCTGCAGCACCAGTAAATCTGTCGACGTGCTTAGACAACGGCGTCTTTGATGCCTCTTCAGATTTTCTGAAAAACCCAAAAATATTACAAAAACGTCACCTGAAAGCCCCCCTTGCAAAAGTATTTCTGTCCCTTTAGCATGTTCACAGTTTTGTTTTTTTGTTTTTTGCTTTTTTTTGTTTTTTTTATGTGACAACCACAACAGAGGATTGTTGGGTGGTTACGTGAAATGCCTTAGGACACATAAAGCTCTTTCTATTCTCATGGTCATTAGTCATTAGTGAAACACAGCAAACAGATCAGAGATAAATGTGTTGCACAAATCAAACCTACACAGCTGCCCACCTAAACAGACAGACCGGGTAAGAAACCCATTACTGAAGAAATCCCTGCCTTAGTGTTGCAGTGGACACGTGGGAGAAGGGTGATCTGGTCAGATGAGACCAAAACTGAACCTTCTGGCCTACATGCAGAATGTGGCAGCGTCATGCTGTGGGGGTGTTTTTGAAAAGGGAAGCTGGTCATTTGATGGGAAGGTTAGTGGCGCTAAACATCGGACAGAGATTTCAGGCTTCCAGCAGCGTGGGTCATCCAGTCTGTAGATAAAGCGTACTCAGCTGATCGTCTGTTCCGAATAGACAATCTTTGCCTAGATTTGAAAATTGATATGCAAGCTCATTCTGTGTGGCTGAGCTTGAACTATTTTGCAAAGAATAATGTTCAAAGCTGCGTAGGCAGAATCCTAAAGACTTCACAGTTGGTCTACGACTTAAAATCCCAATTAAATTATATTCAGCTTTGTAGATGCAACATGGCAAAATGGAAAACAGATCAAGACGTATGAATACTTTTGCAGCGAGTTGTGCAGATGATGAATATTTATGCCTTGGTTATTGATTTAAGTTTTTTTTTTTTTTTTTTCCTTCCATCTCGTCCTGCTGTGGTTGTGGTAGGAGAGACGCCGCAACGGCTGCTCCGAGACTCGGTGAGACCCCCGTCAGAGAAGGCCAAGGAGGCGGCCAAGAGTCTGGCTTCAGCTGCCGCCGCTCCGAAGAAACCCCAGCAATACGTCTGACGGCCGGGAGCGGGAGGCTCGGGGCCGACGCCTTGGATGAGAGCAAACTGTGACTGACTTGGTTCTCTTCATCATGTCTGTGTTTTTTTCTTTCTTTCTGTCTCAGCTCTGTTAAATCTCAGGTGTTTGTATGAAAGAAGTCTGCCTAGAACTGTGCCAGTCAGCCAGATGTAAATACTGAGTCCAGATCACTTCACATTTTAAGTGTCCCAGTAGAGAGAGACGATGTTGATTTTTTTGTACTTTTTAGAGCTAATATATAGAGCTAATATATGCATCAGTAATCTGTGACATGATCATTAGAAAGCATAAAATGCCTATGCTGACACTGACAATCGCAACAGACTGGCTTCTATCAGAATGAGCAACATTTTCACTGATTTACTGTAACGTGATCAGGCTGTAACTGTATGACTGTTTCTGAGGTGCAATAATGATGATAATAATGAAACTGAATCAACTTTTATTTTAAAGCTTGTTCTAAAGATCATTCTGATTTCAGCGACTGCATTCCTTTCAAGTTTGAATTTGACTGGATTTTTATTTGTTGTCTAAGCCTTGGATTAAAGACACAATATGATGGATGTATTCCTGTTTTTTTTTTTTCTCTCCAACAGCCAAAATCTTCAGGACGTCCAATTTCAGAAAGCTCTTTTGTTAAATGAGCTTCAATAAAACTTAAAAAAAAAAAAAAAAGGTCACATGATTGACAGATGCTTATTGTTTATGGGATCAGCTAACATCTTTCTGCTGCTGCAGCAAGAAGCTCCACTCTGACCTTTAAAAGTTAATATTCCAGACTTCAGCTTCACAGCTGCACAAACCAAACAGGAAGCCCCCTAACATTTCAGCTCTTTTTATCTGCCTTTTCCTGCTGCTTTGCTCAGCTGCGTGCATGAATAAGTCACAGCAACGTGTTTATGTATAAAACATTTTAATTATATTACAATGAGACAATACACAATACCTTCAAGTGTTTGCTAAAATGTAGCCAGCACCAGGTACTCGTGTAGACACGCTCATACGCACAAAACAAAAACAAAACCAAAAAAAAAAAAAAAAAAAGGAACTTAACATCTTCTGTATGCAAATTACACATCCTCTATAAAGGAACATATTTCACAGGTCTCTGGCACAGAACTCTCCCTCCCCGGCTCAGCACGCCGGTCCCCAACTGTTTCTCCGTCATCCTCTGTACTAAACCCACAGCCAGAGATCCTCCTGCTGATGCGGCTCTGGAGGGTTTCTACCTCTACGTGTGAAGGTGTGATGAAGGTTGACAAAGGGCGGAAAGCTGATCGAAAGCCTAAAGGGTACTTAAAGCTATCCATGTCGTATAACAAGACATAAATTCTTAATTAATCATGGAAGGAATAAAAGTGACCATTCGTTTGGCAGGAATAATATTCCTAATGGAAGTCATTGTGTGGATTTTTGAAAGCAGCAACAGATTCTGATCTCTGGATCAAGGTGTGCTGATGTTATGTTGTCCGAGTCTGTCGATGTTTCCAAACCTACAAGCTTTGCAGAAAGTGCACTATACCAAAAGCTAATCTCTGAGCAACAGTAACGCGAAAGTAGGCATGGGCCAGTAAAGATATTCTCACGATAAAATATTAAGGAAAAAAAAATAACTTGGTGATAACAGAAAAATATAAAATATTTAAATTGTGTTCGTCTCGAAGCATCCAGAGCTGTCCATCTCATGAGCACAGAAAGTCTGTTTTCAACCACCTGACTAGCAGGTGGAGCAGCTAGCATCATGCTACTGAGGCTCCATCTAGCTGAAATAAAAAAAAAAACCTCTGTTCACTCCAGAGCCTTATTTTGGCATTTCATTTAAAGGGCCTTTCAATTACAGATGCACTAATAAATCATTAGGATATCGGAATTGACTAGTTTCCACCCAATATCAATATTGTTAAAAAGACTTTTAAAAATCAATCATCCAGAGCCTCAGAACTAGCCAATCAGGATAGCCTTGTCATTTCCTAATGTTCTTTTGGATTCAGAACTACAAACCTCCACCACTCACAGATTTTTGTCCTTTATGTGGCAGTTCTAAAAATTATTTTTTTTATATTTTTATTAAATTCGCAGGCGATACCTGGCCAGAAAAAAAGCCTAATTGGTGCATTTCTACTTTGGTTTTGAAACCTGAACCTTTTAAAACCTCAATACCAGCAACTGGTCCATGCCTACGCAGAAGCCATCATCAAAACTCGTCTTTGCTTGCATGTGTGTTTATATTTACACATATATATTTATTCAACTGGTACAATCTCTGCTTAGAAAAGGCACATCTTTAAAGGAACCTCCTTACGCTTTTAAAACTTGACCAGAATGTCGACTAACGTCCGGTCGGCTGCTCAGTAAACCACTCAGCATGACTGCAAGTGCCATTTTTTTTTTTTAATCCAATGACAGAACTGAAACATCATAATCTCACATCCATCTAGCCCCAATCCCTGTTGCGTTTCATACAGGAGGTTCTGTGCGAGAGAGTCATCCCATGCCTTCAATAATAGTATACTCAGTTGTTCATTTTGACCAACATGGATGCCTTTTTTTTTTTTCATTTGTTTGTTTAGTTTTTGCGACAAACAGTCATGTACAAATGCTCTGACATGAATGTAAACTCTTTATGACCAAAAGAAAATAAATTTAACCTGGGGTTGGGTTTCTTTTTTTTTTTTGCCCTCCTGCAGTGTATGGAGAGAGTGCAGATAGGAGGTTAAAAAAAAAAAAGTGTTGGTCACCATAAATGCACCACAGAGTAAAAGCAAAATAAACCACCTGCTTGTCTTTAAAAATCCCTGCCCTGCCCACCCTCCCTTGTCTGAAAGCACAAGATGGTCATATTGCTGTGAGTCGAGAAGTCCTCCTGATCGATGGGTAACACTAGTTTGTTTTTTTTTTTTCTTCCTTTCTTTCTTTTTCAGTTTGGGACGGACCACCTGGGAGCTCGGAGGATAACACCTTAAGCTGCCATTGATTGGATTATTCTTTTATCGCTCCTCTCCCGGGTGGCTCCCGCAGAACAAACATTTAGTCAAAATACAATTATTGTTAAAAAAAAAAAAATAAAGAAGATGAAGAAGCTTCAAGCCCAGACGTTTAGAGCCCCCCGCTGGTGTCCGTTCGGTGGGGCTAGGGAGCGAATAGAAGCTGCCATGGGAGTTCACCAGTGTGTGTCTTTCTTGTTTATTTCCATGACAGAGATGGCTGTGGGGGGGTGGAGTGGGGGTCCTGGACAGGGTGCGGCGGTGACTCCAAGCAGAAGCCAAGGGGCGGCGGGTGGGGCGGGATACTGATGTCGTCACAATACCCCTCTGCTTGTGGAAGTGTAGAGAAAACAAGGAGGAGGAGGGGGGAGTGTGACCTGAGTTGGGGAGGTTAACGAGGAGGAGGAGGAGGAGGAAGGCTCACCAAGGCACAGAATGACAGCAGAAGAGTCACTCAAGAGAGAGGGGGCCAGTGTATGAGCTCCCCTGCCCCCACTCTCCCTTCAACAAGCCTGGCCTCCTGTCTGTCTGTCTCTTTTATATAGATATATATTTATAGATATAGATAGATATACTCACTCTTTTTTTGACTTTTTTTTCAGTTTCAGAGAACATTTAGGAAAATATAATACAAAACTCAAGTACAAGAAATATAGACTACACTAGCTGGTTTCACTTTAAGTGACGAGTAGCTTCTTTTCTTTCCAGGGTTTTTTTTTTTTTTTTTTTTATTGTTATTTTTTCTTCTGTTTTTAGCAGTTTTGTATTTTTTTGGTCAGCCCCCCCCGCCGTAGTGGACGAGCTGCTTTTCGGTTTTGTTTTGTTTTTGTTTGGTTTTTTTTTAAAGTGCCAAGCTCTACAGACTGCAAAAAGACCGGGGGCGGGGGGTGGGTGGGGTCGAGTGAGGTGGAGGTCGGGGGGGAAACTTATTGATTACTAACACCGTCAGAGGCGCCTCGTCCGTCCATAACCACTATTGTGCATCGGTTACAGTCAAAGCCTGGGGGAAGTTCACCCAGAAAAGCCGAGAGGAATAATAATAATAATAATAATAATAATAATAAATGGTAGGAGAAAGCAAAAGAGAAGATTATTACTTCTGCTGGGAAAAACTGCAGGATTAGTTTGCTAAATTCTCTATCCCTTAACAGAACGAGAACAGTTTCCCACTGATTTGTCAGCTTTGACCTGCTAATCGGACGCTGTAGATTCAGGCGAAGCGACAGAGCTGCGGAGGATTTTTTTTCCAATTCTTATCGTTAGGTGGCGCCGTGCAGACGGGCAGAGGTCAGTTAGTGAATCCGACGCAAAGGTCAGCTTACCGTCTACGGGTTAAAGAAACAAAACACAACATAAAAATCTCCCAATGACAATAGCTCGTGGTCCGCCGGGATCACTTCAGAACGTAAGAGGGGAAGCCTCTTATTTGCTACATCAATTAGCTACTGAGAAGGAAAAAACAAAACATAAAACAAAACACAATGTTTGGGTTTTTATAGTTGTAGGGCAACTCCTTCCTTCCTGTTTTTCTCTCTGAATTAGTAGTCCATCCACACCATCTGGTGGTATAGTGTAGTGGTCAGTAGTGTGGAGTTAGTGGTTAGGCGACCCAACCAGAGGGAGACGTGGACAGTAACTGGATTATCTATTTACACCGTTTCTGCTCCTGCAGCTCTGATGTTTCTCCTGTCGTCTTCACTGAAAGATGAACTGACCATGAAAAGAGGTTGTGGGTATAAAAAAAACAAAAAAAAAAAAACAACCTGGCTGTGCATTCAGGATGTGATGAAGATGTAAAAACAGGAAAGGGTCGATGCATTTGGACTGCTAAGTTCGAGGGTGTGTGATCGTGCTCTTAATGTGACCTTTCAAGGGCCTCGGAAAAGTATTCACACCCCGGGAAGCTTTTCACATTACAATCATAATCTTCAATGTAGTTTGTTGGAAATTTCGTAGCATTTGTCAGCAGAAAGCTTCAAGATGGCTATAAATCTTTAGCAACAGTCATTTCTCTTTTTCTTTTTTTTTTCTTGTTTTTAAGTGCAAAGCCTTGCCTGAATACTTTTGCCTCAGGAAGATAAATGAAACTTGCTTTTGCATTAGGCGATTAACAGGTCAAAGCTGTTCTTCTTCACTGCCTGATTAAGTAATTATCTTTCTAATTATCAGAAAGAAAAGCCACAAACTCTCCTCTGCGCTGTCTGAGCCTGCAGCAACACTCGGTTAGAAGGGGCTGTGTGGGGGTGGGGGGGCAGGACGCGTTGGGGGTTGAGGGGTGCCAGGAAGGGGCTCGGCTAGCGTGTCAGCCTGCAGAGGCGTGGCCTGGAACAGGTGGAAGCCGTACCGCCGTCGTGGACCGGTCTGACGCAGGTAACAGGCGGCGTCCGGGGGCGGGCGGGGATCAGGAAGGAAAAGCAAAACGCTGGGAGGAACTGGTTGGTTGAGCGACGGAAGGTGCCTAACAGTGATGCGGCTGCAGTCTGTGGGAATGTGCGGCTGTGTAGCTGGTGTCGCTGGAGCTGCTCTGGACGCCGTAGTGGTCCTCCTCCTCTTCCTCCTCCTCCTCGCCGTCGCTGATGCTGTCTATGCTGTCCACCTCGCCCGGGGTGAACTCCATGCCCTCGATGTCCACCTCTGTTTGCGCAAACACAAGGAGACAACAAGCAAAAACGTTGACTTCCGCCCGACTGCGACATATGGCTGGCGCACCTGTGAGGGAGCGGGCTGCGCCTGCTGATTTAAACCTGGATTTGGGCTGCCTTTAACTCGGAGCAAACAAGGAGCTCTTTTGTGCTCCAGCAGGTAATCCCCCGTGCACGGATAGACAACTGCAAACGTGTTTATCTTAACGCAGGATTAGTAAACACACTAAAACCGCCCAAAGCCAAGATTTTTCAGGAAACTCCGTGACACCAGACTCTTATTAGCAGACATCATGTAGCTTCCCATTCTGGAATGAAGCTAGAAAGCGGCGTGAAGATCCAACGCCGACAACCTTCTTATCTCTCATCACCAGTCCACCGATGCAACTGGTTCTTCTGAGTTGTCCTGAGATTTGAAATGGTTTTCACATATAAAACCAGCCTGACGTCAGACGGTCTGTTATTTCTGCAGCGGACACCACAACTTGCTACGAGACACAGCGGGCCGCATGACGCAGTAGCTGAAATGCCTTTTTATCTGTAATCTGAGGTGTTAACCTTTAACCCCTGGGGGACTAACCTGTTGACAGGGTTGGGGATAATTGCCTGATCAGGCTGGACATTTTAGAGCGCGGCTTCGGTGAAGCTACGAGGCCGCTTTATTTGTGGAGGACAAAAGTATTCATCCCCTCTGAACTGTTTCACATTTTGTCGTGTTATAGCCACAAACCTCAGTCTGTTTTATACAGATTATACGTGATTAACCAACAAAAAAGGGGATATAATGCATGGTGTTTAAACTTTTCCGCAGATAAACTTGCAAACTATTTATTTTTTTTCTTCAGGAATGTCCTGTCCTAAGCAGCCCCACAGGATGGTCCTGCTGCCACCATGTTTCATAGTAACAGTGCACATTCAGTTGTGATGTGCACTGTTAAGTTTTCTTCCATAAACAACCTAAAAATGGGACTCCTGCTGATTTCTAGACAGTTTTCATGAAAAGTAACATTCCTAGATGAATATTACCGCATCATCCCTGCAGTCTTTAAAAAAAGTTTGGACATTTGATTAGAAACGATTAGCCTAGCTTCCGTAGGTGAGGCAGTCAGTTTAGATGTAATGTCTAGTTAGAGCTGCAGATGTACTACGGTCATTTACACAAGAAATATATTCATTTAAAATGAATAAAGCCCATGCTTTCTTAGTTTTAAATATGTGCTACTTGCGCTATGTGCTACAGATAGGGCTTGATTGTGGCACAGATAAAATGAAATGTCCTCTGGCCTGCAGAATCTGCTGTTTTAAATGCTCAAACTTCGCTTTAGTTCCTCAGAGTTCCCCTGAAGCGTCAGCGTACCTTGCTCTGAGTCGGTGGAGATGGTGGAGCCCATGCTGTCAGTGCGAATGCGCTCCACGGACCCCGACACGGAGAGCTGCTCGAGGCGGCGTTTGAGGTAGCGGTGCTCTCTCTGAAGCTGCTCCTTCACATTTAAAGCCTTCCTGTCCTGTTCCTCCAGCTTCTGCAGACAAAACATACCCCAAAAAATAAATAAATAAATAAGTAAACGGCAAAGAGTGAGCGGAGAACTTCATCTTGGCCCAAACACGCCCCCTACCCAGCAGATCTTCTTTTAACTGGATGCACAATCACCAGTAAAACTGAGTTGTGAAAGTGAATTAAAGGAAATGAAAATGCAAATATAGTATTGAAACGGTACATGAAAATAGTGCAAGGTCCTGCTGTGGATATACAAGTTTCTTTTTTTTATGCTTTTTGCTTTTTTTATTGTGGCCCAAATTATTAGTGTCGCTGCTGAATTTTTTGGAGAGCAGCTAAGAGAAATCTGCCTCTGCTTCATATTTATGCCAAAGGACAAAAAGGAAGTTGTGAACTTGGATCAATGATCTTGCAAAAATATCCATTCATTTCACATTAAAGGTTGGATATTAATCATCTGCAACAGAAGACGAATTTCTTTTACTACTTTTAACACGTCTTTGCCAAAGTTACCAGTAAGTGAGGTGGCTGCAATCATTTAGTCGTCGCCGTAGCTGCAGAAGGCTTTTGAAAAGCAGGTTTTGTTTTGTATCTGCAAACATCCACACCTCGATCAAACTCACTAAAGCTCCACACAAGCAACTTTAATGAGTGTAGCTACTAAAAGCAAGAGAGATTTCCAGGTCAAAAAGGCAAAAAATAAACATGAGCTTCACAGTCATATTCAGACTCTGTGTGAGGTTATATTTTGCACTCGTTTGCATCTGAAAGTTTTCGGTGGTGAATCAAAGCCACCCCGGGCCCCGAGGCCTCCTGTGAGATGAGAAGGCTCAGCGCAGTGACGAGAATCCGCGTGCATCGTCTGAGCTCGAAAAACAGGAAATAAGGGGTTAAAACTCTTGACGTTTGAATTTTCCACCCAACCACAGTGTTGCTGCCTGTAAACAGCACGATCAGTGCAGCATGACCTAAACTGTACCCACAGGTCGCCTTCTGCAGCCTCACAGTCCATGCACCAAGCAGCATTTCTTAAGCATTTCTGTATTTCTGCTCGTTGCGCGTCGAGCGGCTCGTCGTATCGGTGAGCTGATCTCACCATGAACCATAGAGGAGCCGCTTCCAAACATTATATCATCTCCTTATCTACATATCAGCCACCCAGTTCTCTGTAAAGTCCACTTTGTTGACTCATATGTTGAACTTGTTTTTCTTCCTTTCACTGTTGAATTCTTTTTTTTTTTTTTTCTGAATCTGATTGGAAGATTACAAAAACAATGGCAAAAAAAAAAAAACAACAACAAACAAACAAGGAGAGCAAGGATTTTCTTGATTTTCTAAGGACATATTTGTTTAAATCAAACGTGCTTGTACAAAATACATGCACCATTTTGTGATAGCCAACAGTGTCTTGCAAAAGTATGTAGTATATACTGTTAAACCCCAAACTTGGGATTTTATGTATTGGATCAGCACAAAACAGAGCATAAATGTGAGCTGAAATTAAATAGACACATGGTTTTTACGTGATTTTAAGAAAAAAAAAAATATCTAAGTGTTCATTCAGAAACTAACTTCATCCTGAGCAGAGTTAATAAACTCAAGGACAGTTTGTTGTTTAGCTGGATTTCATGTAGGGGTGTCAGAGTATAAATGGAGCTGAATACCCAACAATGTTTTTCATTTTTAAATGTGTTTTTTTTAAAAGCATAAAGCATTTTATTTTCCTACCATAACACAATTAAGTGCCGCTTCTTTGATGGTCAATCATAAAAAAAAGCCAGGACAAAGGTGCAACATTTGTGCTGATTTTATCAGCATACCTGTCCAAAAAAAAAAAAAAAAAAAAAAGAAAAAAAAAACACATTTGGCAGTTTTGTGAGATAAAAATAAACCGCATAAGCTGTGGTTTGGAACAGTAGCAACCAGTTACAACCACAGACATTTTATTTATTTATTTTTTTTAACTTTGTGGCTCTTTGAGTACCTTAATGTGCATTTTGGCCCTTTTCAGCAGGCTCAGGGTGGTGTGTCTCGTGCTGTCTGGACCCAAAGGCACCAGCTTCTTCAACTGCTCCAAGTAGAGTCGTAGCTTGGCACGTCTGCAAGCAAGCACACAAGAACAAAATGAGTCAGCACCTGTCAAGTATCATGAGCGCACCCACACACAAACACAAACCCACGCAGACACACGCAGGTGGAGAGGAACGTCCTTAAAGCTGCAGAAGCAAAACGTTGCTCCGTGTGCGCTCTGACCGCCACGGCCTGATCTTGCGCTGGAAAACGGGAGCAGTGATGGCGAACACTTTGAGTTGGAACGTGAGATTTTTTTTTCCTCCAATGCCCGAGGTGTGTTGGAGTCTCAGTGGTAACACTGGGTTTAAAAGCTCAAAACATTTGCTTGAGAACAAAAAATAGCAGATTTGTATTTGTGTCCAGTTAGAAAATATCCTATGTTTACACAATAAATAGTTCTAACAACAATTTTTATTTATTTATTTTTTTTTTATTTTCAGTGTCTTGCATTTTAGCTTGAGATGGTTTCCAGATTTAACTTATGCTGAAATAAAATAAATGACTTGATAAATGTATCGAATAGCAATTGTCGCTGCGATATTAATGTGCGATGTAGCGCAAACACAAAAGGCTGCTTGGACACAATGACTGGTGAAGCTCCGCACTGCAAAACTGATCCAGTCAGTCGGATGGACTTTGGCTGCACTTGGTGTGGACACTGTGAGGACATGGGAGCAGTGAAGACAGAGAAAGATGTGGGTTCAGGCGTGATTCGCATTGAAAACTGATATTGAACAGTAATATTGCAACTGTGCGTTTTCCCATTGCCGAACACGCCAAATGAGTTAAATTTACCTCATGTTTATTTGATATTTTTGCCTATAATGATAAAGAAAATCAAGATTACAAACAACCTTTAGTCATACTGATATTTTTAGTCAAGGTTCCCACGTCATAAGGATATCATACAACTACTTGCATGATTTTGTTTAGCTTTTTTCACCTAGACTATTTGAGGTACTTTTTTTGGAAAGAAAACATTTGTACCTACTTTGTTTCCCTAAAACAGACAGCAATTAATTCCTGCTCCCCTTAATCTAAATAAGAGTAAATCTTCCAGTTTGTTAGTTAAACATAACCACAGAGGGCAGAGTCCCTGCGAGGCCGCCTACAGTCTGAAGACTGTAGTGATGGGGAATGCGACTAATGTACGCTAGCGATCCTTAAATGTCTCATAAACAGACAAAGCGGCAAAACCTCAAAACCACCTACAGTCAAAACTATGAGCAGCGCTCACCCCACCCACCTACTCTCAGAGAAATGATCGGTTAACGTTTAAAAAACAGCGCGTATACATGACAAAACCTTTGACAGACAAGATGAATTTATTGTTTCTTGTGGCTGATGGTATCAACGAGGAACAGGTGGATCAGGATGCAAGACTCTCGTCAACACCCACACAGTCTCAGTATGAGGGCTTTTGTTTTCTGTTTCATTCAACTTATTACAGAGTCTTTCGGTTTTCCTCACGGTGGTGTCACCCGTCTTCGAAACGCAGCGAAATGTCAACCCTGCTCGAATAACAGCTAGCAAAGTCGCAGGGAAAATGTGTGAAAAAACAAAACAAAACAAAAACTGCTGACCAAAATGGCGTCAATGATATGATGAACATCTGTTCCAGTGAGTTTAACGCTGATCCCAGATGCAGATTGTGACCCTAGAAAACTCAGCATCCAGTCCAAAGCCCTGCAGGCCAACAACCCCGTACCCCTGGGCAAACGGCTCTCTGCATGCACCATCGGGATGTTTATTTAGGTGACAGGCGAGAACAAATCAGAGTTAATCTGTGTGTGCAAGAGGAGCTTTTTATCCGCTCGACACTGTATATGATTCGCATCGTTAACTGAGCCGGCGTGCCCCCTTCTCTCTGTTCTGGGTCCATTCGGATTTGTCTATGAAAGCCTTTCAACCCTCCGTTAGTCAAGCAGGTCCGTGAACAGTTTCTTTGTTCTGGGCCCTCCGTCCCCTTCTTTCTCTCCAGCTCCTTTGGCTAACTCCAACGGAACGGTAAACAAACTCCCAACAACGCGAGATCTGCTCTGACCATCACAATAAACCTAATCAGGGCAACAAAGCTCGCTGGGGCGAGTTGAAGCACGGAGCTTCAGCAATTACAGCCGCGTCGCCGCTGCAGAACGTCTTCCCTTCCCTTCAGGAAGGGCGTCACCTGCATTTTCCACAGCACCCGCAGCATAATAAACTTCCTGAATGAGAGGGACGTGTTTATTTCTGAGGGATCTGGTTAGCTGGGCTTTAATGTGTCGGAAATGTGAACGAATCATTTCTCTCTGCAGGTGTGTATGGAGGTGTTCCACGAAAGAGGGCATGTGAAAGTGCTCCCACTCTTTTAATCCCCACAAACCTTCGCTCCTGGGGGAAAAAAAAAAAAAAAAGCTGAAAAAACTCGGACCGAACCCCTTCAACTCCGTGCTCCACACTGCCAACACCAACACGCCCTCAATCCCACTGGAAAACAAGTGTCCTCTGAGGTCAGGGGCGGGGGGCCATCCCCGGCCCGCTCCAGTCCAGCCACATGAAGCGCTTGGTCTGCAGCCAGGGGAAGCAGGCAGGAAGGAGCAGGGGGTCTGCAGCAGAAGGGTGTTTTTTTTTTTTTTTTTTTGGGAACAGGAGCGGGGTCTGAGTTGGTGGACGACTTTTTCTGGGGTTGAAAAGAAGGGCTCTTTCAGCGCAGTGTGCTCAGCTGCACCAAGCATCCTCCAAAGGGTAATTTGAGCCAACCGTCATAGACCCCCACCTCAGTCTCAGCTTCTCTTGTGATAAAATAACAAAAACAAGGCGTTTCCCCCCTCCCCACCCTCCCAGGCCACCCCCCAAAATAGTGCGCCTGGCGATCCAACTCCCCGTGTAGAAAACTTTGCTTTTCAATGATTTGCTTTCCATACAAGAAAAAGCATCAAAAGCTCACAAATATTTTCAGATTTTGTCACGTCACAACAAACTTTAGTGGATTTAATTGTGAGCGACGAACGTGGTGCAGAATTGTGAAGTGAAAGGAAAATCATACGTTCTCAAAAGTTTTCACAAATAAAAATCTGAAAAGTGTGGTGTGCTGCAGCTAGAAGGTCCTGACCTGGAGACTTTCTGCACTGAGTTAGCATGTGAGTGTTGTCCTATAGGCTACTCGGGCTTCTTCCTACAATCCACCTTTGAGGGTTCGTCTCTACCAGCTCTACAACATCTTCAGACTGAAATTTATGCCCCAGAATAACTAGCGCTCCACTCAATTTGATAGGCAGCAATTTGTAGCACAGGACTGAGAACTGGGCTTTGGTTAGGCCATCCTAACTCGCTCTGATGTTATTTTGTAACAGAACAGTACTCTTAAGAGCTAAGGTATCATAGCTCTGCAGCAGGCAGTGTGTAGGTCTGACACTTATTTCTGTCTTTCACTGAACACCATGCTGAGACATGATAATTACTCAGGTAAGTCCTCTTTGGCAAGCAATACATTTGTTAAAGCAATCATGCTTTTCTCTGCCTGTCTGACTGCAATATTTTGTGGTCAGATTGTTTTTTTTTTGTTTGTTTTGTTTTTTTTGCAACAGGATGTTCATTCCAAAGCTTCTGCACATAAATAGTCAAATCTGATCTTTCCCAATTTTGTCTGGTATGCAGATTTGATATGACGTTCACTAGAGACATCATGACAACATGACAAAACATAGAAGCCAATCATGTTCATGTTTTTCTACTATCCCTACAATCAAGTGATGGGAACAAGCACAAACATACAGAAGTTGAGGTGTAAGGCTGACTAAAACTAAATGTCCAAAGCATGACCAGCTTCCTTCTCCCAGATGACCGACAGACCCTCCCACCGGGTCCCGTCTGCACGTACACAGTTAACAATGTTCACAGCACTCTTGCTAAATTAGTGAATTTGTCGATATTTTTAGCTATTTTTCAAACCCCTGGGGGGAAAAAAGCAACTATTGCTCCAAATGTAGTAACTTTCTCTGTTATTGGAAGACTCTGGCAACAACACATCAAAGCAGCAATCGTACTGCAGTTACAGAAAACAGTGAGTGGCTCCATGAGTCCGACAGACTGGGACACTGAAGGTGTACTGTGACCTTAAGAAAAATAATTGGTGGCCAAAATCAAAATCTGCAATTGGTGCACCCCTAGTGGAAATGTTAGGGAAGTATGAGTATTTCTGCAAAGGTCTGTATCACTGTTACAACATGTGTAATTCTCTCTTCTAAACCCTTTATATAATCTGCTCATAGTTGCATCCATTCTCTGATTTATTATCTTACAGGCTTATTAAAAGCTAAATTTAAGGAAGATGTAAAGTAAGTAGGGACTGGCATGTGCTACACTGAAGAAGACTTTTTATATGTTTGCATGCGAGAAGCACAAAAAAAAAAAAGGAATTCTTTAATCTCTGGTTTGAGATAAAAATTCCCCAAATTATTATAAAGGTATCTGTTATATTATTAGGTATCTGTTACCCATTTACCCAAATGAGTTGCTGAGAAGATTGCAGCAATCTTTGACTTTACAAAAAGGTTGGGAATTATAGAAAACGGCTCTAGTTCCCCCCGCCCCCAACGTTTCCTGGCTTTACACGCTGACAAATGCACTCCAGTCAGTGTTGGGAACATCTTTGTTTGAGGAGAGCGTTGTGTTCCTGATGCATATCAACAGGACAGGATCTCGTTCAACCCAGCATTGTGTCTCTGTCAGCTCCCTTCGCAGCGGCATGTGCTCCCCTGTCACGAGACGCGCCGTGTTTTTCCTCAAGAGCGCACCGCTGATTTGCGGTGGGGACCGGGACCCTCGCTCGCTCGCTGTTTGTTATTCCTGAGCCGAAGTCACGCAATGTTTATCAGATCGTCAGAAACAGCCGTGCCAGGAGTGGCGTCTGATGAACGCGATCGCCGTGTCCCTGAGAGTCTTCGCCGTCTGACCTGTGTCGTTTTGAGTCACAACAAATTTTCCAATTTGGATTCAGATCAGGATGCTCTTTGATTAAAAACACAGCGTGAGGCAGTTTGTGGCA